CAGGAGGAGACAGCTCCCTGGGGAAGGGGTGACTGTGCTGCAAACCCAAAGAGCCGACATCTCAAACTGACGACTCGGTTGAAATTGAAACACAGTCTTGACCCCACATTTCAACATGAGTGTGTTAAGTTGGCCAAGTTCATGTTTAACATGAAAGGCAGGGTTGCATCCTCTCAGCCCACCTCTTATCAGCTCAGGGTTGTTTCCAGACCATGAAAACAGGATAGATAAACACCCCTGGCTCAGACCATGGCCGGCCACGGCTGTCGGGTCTCCGCGCTTGAGTCCGCTTCCCAGCAGAGCCAATCCAACTGTGCAGAACCCGTTGTTTGAACAGCTGAAAAGTCTATTTGAAACTAGATCATTGTCTCCGTGTCCACATGTAACTGGAACCCTGTCTACCTGTGAGTGTCTTATGTTTTGTTGCAGGAATATTTCCAATCAGATCAGTGTTTTCCCTTTCCAGCCGCCCCCCCCCCCCCCCCCCGCCACCCATACCCTCTGGATTTAGGAGAGAAAAGTCTGCTGGCTGCCCTTGCCTGCGTTGGAGTCATTGATCATTTACCAAACACTTGTCAAGTCCCTTCTCCACAGCAGGCACTGCAGGTGCCAGTGGGCATGAGGCGTTAGCACTCTCTGCCTCAGTGAGAAAGAAACAAGAGGGAGCAGATTACAGCAGGTGCCGTAGGAGAGTGTTTGGGAAACATTTGATAAGTGGGTGAGCAAATGCACATCTATCATCACAGGGAAGCCCCAGTCCCACGGGCTGTGTCCGGGAAGACAGCAGCGAGGACAGGGGAGGTGGGTGTCAAACGGACTTCGTCCTCCGCATCTCAGTCTGGAATCATACCATTTGCTCTTTGCATTTTGCTCTTCCAGATTCTGTCCCGTATTTATTAGTAGCGGCAGAGGGAAGCAAGACTCTGTGTGTGTTAAAATAAAGAAGGCTATCTCTTTTTTAAAAATAGTGTTTTTAGCCCTGGCTGGTTTGGCTCAGTGGGTAGAGTGTCAGCCTGTGGACCGAAGGGTCCCGGTTTTGATTCTGGTCAAGGGCTCATGCCTGGGTTGTAGGCTCGATCCCCAGTAGGGGGCGTGTAGATGGCAGCCGATCAATGCTTCTCTCTCATCATTGATGTTTCTATCTCTCTTTCTCCTCTCTTCCTCTCTGAATTCAATAAAAAATATATTTTTAAAAATAGTGTTTTTAAAAGATTAAGGAATTAATCATGAATATTTATGTGTGGGGGAAGGTATAGGTGGCTGGGGGCGGTGGGGTTGTTCATAGAAGTGCCACAGTTGCTCACATGATCCAAGGGCAGACACAGGACCTGCCGGCCTCCTGGGAATGGGCTCTGGGAGCCGCCAGCCAGCCAGGGAGCCCCTGCCTTTCTCTCTCCGTGGCCTGCACCAGGCGCTGTGGCTTGTTGTTGTCTAGACAGGCCCGTCCCTCACTACTCCCTCCACTCACCCAGACATCCTCTGCTCATTACTGGCTTCTCCTTCACAGCGCTCACCCTGCTGCACGGCCCCAGGTTCACCACGTGGCCTTTCTGCTCAGTTCTTGTGACAAGGCTCCTCGCGTTTCCATGCAGGTCCTTCCCCAGCCTGTGGGTAGCTCTGGGGCCTGGCCTGGTTCGCGGCGGGCCCCGAGTGGTCCTCTGATTCCCAGCATTTCTAAAGGGAACTGGGCAGAGATTCGCTTGGAGGGGCCAGGGGCTGTGAACAGGCATCCCTATGTAGCTTTATGGATGTGGGCATAGCCATCTTGATGGCACTAGATTTCAGAGTTTCAAAGACGACTGCTCGGTAGCAATCCAGGCCCCTCCACCTCTGCTGGTGCCGTCCTGAAACCAGGAGATCAGACCAGCAGGGGGAGAAGGGGTCTCAGGGCTCTAAAGAAGCTCATTCTCGAAGCAACTATTTATTGAGTACCCGCTGTGCGTAAGGCAGTCCTAGATCCATTAGCTCTTGGATTTTTTCGGTATGAGATGCTAGAGTTTGGGAGCCCACTTCTTAAAAGCGTCTATTTTTTTGGAGTGCTTGGGGCATTAACACGTTTTCATTAAGAATACGATGGCCCTAACCTGTTTGGCTCAGTGGATAGAGCGTCGGCCTGCGGACTCGAGGGTCCCGGGTTTGATTCTGGTCAAGGGCATGTACCTTAGTTGCGGGCACATCCCCAGTAGGGAGACGATGGAGCCCTAGCCGATTTGGCTCAATGGATAGGGCATCGGCCTGTGGACCAAAGGGTCCCGGGTTTGATTCCAGTCAAGGGCATGTACCTCAGTTGCAGGCTCCTCCCTGGCTCTGGCCCTGGTCAGGGCACGTGCAGGAGGCAACCAATCGATGTGTTCCTCTCACATCGACATTTCTGTCTGTCTGTCTTTCTCTCTCCCACTCTCTCTAAAAATCAATGGGAAAATATCCTTGGGTGAGGATTAAAAAAGAAGAAGAACAGTATGGAGGCGGTATTATAATGATTGCCATTTTACAGAGCTCAAACTGAGGCAGGGAGGTTTTCAGCTGCCTTGCATTTCTTTTTCTTATTGAACTGCCCTGACTAGGATGTCCAGTGCATTGCTGAACGGAAATGGCGACAGCAGATATTCTCACCTTGTTCCCGCTCACAGGGGCCAGGGGCCAGCCCTCCACCATTCAGTCGTATGTGAGCTGTCGGTCTCTTCATGGATGTCCTTTATCAAGTTGGGGAAGCTGCTTTCTGTGCTTAGTTTCATAGCGATGGTTTTAAAGATTCCATTTTAAACGCGGGAAAACGAAAAGCCTGAAGAGTTAGGCAAACTTTCCCTCCAGTTGTAGGGAACCAGTACAGAACGTGGAGAAACAGCGACGAGCACAGATTCTGGCCTCGCGCTTCCCAGGTTCAGATCCGGGCCTGCCACTCACCTGCTGGGGGTTACTCAGGGCTTTGTGCTTCCATTTCCCGGCTGTAAAACGGGGGGTAACAATAGCATCTGCCTCAGTAGGTTGTTGTGAGGTTTGACATGTAGAAATGTTTATAATATGCTTAGAACAGTGCCTGGACAATAAAAAGTGCTATATAATATTTTTCTTCTTATGTTCGCGTAACATTCATGAAAGACAACTAGATTCTGCTTCAGGAAGCAAGCCAACCATGCTGGCTTCCAGATGTGGGTTTTGCTCCATCTTTCGCCCACCCCTTGCCATTCGTGGTGGCACAGTGAGAGTTTCAGGCTGGTAGAATCACCATCTAGCTCTACCTCCAGCCCAACCGCGGCAGGAACCCCGTGTGTATGTGGCACCTGACCGGCCGCCGGCCGCCTTGTGAGTGAGAATTCTTCACGCTGATTGTACGCGCAGGCAGCCCGGGTTTCTCAGTCCTGGGGAAGGCCAGTGAGGTCTGTTGGGTGACAGTGAGCTTTCCCAGGGCTGGGAAGCTCCGGTTCCGTGTTCACTACATGCACGGATAGGTCCTCCAGTTGCTTCAGCCACGACACCTGACATGGTGCTTGCATCTTCTAGAATACTCCGAAATAAACTCCACGGAGATTCCTGAGGATGGCGGCTCCTCTTTCTTGCCACCAGGGAACTGATTTAGGGACAGGGATAGGGTTGGCTTTTCTGCTTAACAGCGACCCAGATCCTGAGTCAACACCTGAATACACACTGGGCCCTTTTTATTGAGCCCAACGGGGGGTGAGAGAGGAATGAGGCTCCGTCCTTTCCTGGCGCGTTACAAGGACTGCCCTGTGTCTGATTCCCAGGAATCCTTAGTTGGGAGACCTCTTGGTTTTAGATCGAACATGAGTCTCTTCCTGACTGGGCAGCAGGTTGCTTTGCTCACATAAACAGTATTGCTCCATAAACAAGCCAGAGGGGAGATTGCTACCGGCGAAGTTAACATTTCCGTTTAAATTCCAGCTCCTGGGAATATCAAGGCTGATTCAGCCTTTAGATGTTTTAATCTCCGGAGCCTGGCAACTCTGTTTTCCCTTTTCACTAAATGCTACAGTTGAGGACTTAGAGAATTATGCAAAACACACTTGCAGTACCAGAGTTTAAAGGGGTAGGATCCCCAGTCGTATGGGCTGATGCACCTTTACCCCCCCTTTTTTTTGCTGATTAGGGGTGGGGGTGGGGGGTCTTAAAAATGAGCTACAGGATCCTGAGCAAAGGGTCTCAGGTTTTCTTGGTCCCAGGACTATCTTTTTCAAAAAAACAATTTTGAGAATTAAGTGGAAACATATGCCAAGGTCACATTTGCTGTGTGCATGTACTAACAGATAAACGTGCAAGGCAGAAGAAGCCTGTTTATACCACTTGCAACTGCACTGCAAAACCATCAACAGCTCACAGCCCAACCCATCTTCCAAAATGTTGGTGTGATGCATTTAAAATGTGCAGCTCTGCAAGGAGGCGCCCACAAAGTCTCTTCTGTGATTTGCATATTTGTGTACAAGAACACAAACCGTTTACATGGGCTTTTAGCCCGTTTTAAATGCTCAAAAAAAAAAAGGTCCCCATGATTTGCTTTGCTTAAAATGCACACTCAAAACTTTATTAAAAACATTTTTTCAAAAAGAGTTTCATAAAGCTAGACACCAGCAAGGCTTTACCGAGCGGTGGAAAATGGATCGTATATCTTTAACCCGCAGAAGTTAAAAGGCTTTTTTTTTTTTTTTTTGTTAGCTAACAATGGAAACTTTTTTTTTAAAAGTGTTTCCCTCCCTCGGTCTTGCCAAGCAATAGAAAAAAAAAAAAAAAAAAAAAAGAAAAACTTGTTCCGCTGAGTTCAACCCCAGACAGGCTCACAACTTCCTTCCTGCTTTCCTCCCCCACCCCCCGCCTTTCACCCTCCTCCCTCCTCACCGCACCCCCCGCCCAAGCCTTTTTTTTTAAATCTCACATTGAACAAACACTGAAGTCGCCGGGAGCAGACGCAGACGGGCACTCTCTCCTGCGCCTGGAAGGGCGCGCAGGGCCGGCCGCGTCGTCGCCGCGGGATCGCCGGCCGCGGAACAGCAGCGTTCTCCGCCGCCCGGTCCGCTTTTGTCTGCGCCGCTCGGGGAAGCGGTCGCCTCGGAGCCTTTTCACTTTTCAGGCCATCTTGTGCCTGGGCCGTGTCGTCTGCACAGGACCCGGGGGTCGGAGGCACTGGAGGTAAGTTTGGCGGCTTTTTCATCGCTCCCGCTTGGAACCTCTTTCCTCTCCCTCCCGGCTCCGGGGCGAACCCGAGCGGCCCGGGCTCTGGAAAAGCGCAGCGAGAGGGGCTGGGGAGGCCGGAAAGGGGGTGGATCCGGAGGCTGGCGCGGAGTCTGGGTGCGGGGAGAGCGGGGCGAGCCGGGAGGGAGCTGTCGGCGTTTCCCCTGCTCGCCTCCCAGGCCGCGGGCTCCGCGCCCCTCCCCGGCGCGCCAGGCGCCCCCCGCTCGGGCGGCCGGCGGCTCCGCGGGCGACGGCGAGGCGGCCCGGGACGCGGGGAAGCCGTGCACTTGGCCGCGCTGCCCGGGGGTTTCGACCTCGGGCCCCGGGAGGTTTGCAGAGCAGGGGGTTCCCGGCGGCTGCGGCCACGCACGCCTTGGGTCCCTCCGGGTGAGCGCGGGTCCCAGAGCCGCCGAGAGCCGCGTCCTCCCCCACGGGGCGCGCGGGCACAGCGGCCCCTCCGCGGGGGGCGGCGAGCATTGGTTCCGGGACCCGGGCCGAGCGGCTCTTCGCTCCCGGACGCGCGCAGGCGCGCCCACACCCACAAAACTCACTTGTTCGGGGGACAAAGCGGGTGCGAAAAACACCTCGGTTGCGGCCCCGCCGGGCGCCCAGACCTTCGTGGGCCGCGGGACGCAGCCCCCAGGCAGGGTCAGGGAGGTTAGCGGCCGGCACGCAGGGTCCTCCCGGACCGGAGCGCAGACGGTGGCGAGGGGAGGCAGGTCCGACCGGCTCCGGGTCGCTGCGGGTCGGTCCCGGGTGGCCAGGGAGGGTGGAGCGGGGAGGTCCTGAAGTCCAGGGGCGGGGAGGCCCCGTTTTGCCCGATGCAACCTGGGTTCGCCCAGGCGGAAGCCCGGAGAGGGTGCATGGTGCCCTCGCTCAGAGGCCCCCAGCACGCTTGGACCGAGTAGTGGCACACCGCCCCCTGCCCACCCGCGTGGCGCCGGGACGAGTCTTGGAGTTGGGAAGACACTTCCTGGGCAATAACAAACCAGGGGGAGGGTGGGAGCGCGCTCGGGAGAGCCCCCCCCCCCCCCGTGCTGGCCACCGACACCCCCTGGGCTGTGTCCTCGCGCCGAACCAGTGAGAGGGCCAGGGGCACCGGATCCCCGACAGGTGGGAGTCCGCGGTTCGAGGCGCCCCCTCCCCGTGCCCACACCCTCCCCATGGGGTCCTGACTTTTCTCCTTGTGTCTCCACAGGGCGCTGCGGTGTATGGAGCTCGGGGCGGGGGCTGAGCCCGCGATCTTGCCCCTCGCGCGCCGCCCAGGCCATGCCACTGCCTCTGCGCGCCGAGCCGCGGCCGCCGGGCCTCCGGGGCTGAGCCGGGAGCCGCGGGAGGCGGCGGGGCCGGAGCGGGGGCCGCGGCGGCGGCGCGGGCGCGGGACCCAGTACTATGGCTGTGTACTGCTATGCGCTCAACAGCCTGGTGATCATGAATAGCGCCAACCAGGTGCGGAGCGGCGCCCCCCGGCCCGGCAGCAGCGAGACGCCCCCGCCGCCGGGGAGCGCCACCCTGAGCCCCGGCAGCGTGTTCAGCCCCGGGAGGGACGCCTCTTTCCTCTTCCCCCCGACCGAGTCGTCGTCGCCCGAGGAGCCGGGGAGCCCCCGGGGCTGGCGGAGCGGCCGGCGCCGGCTGAACAGCAGCAGCGGCGGCAGCGGCAGCAGCGGCGTGAGCAGCCCGAGTTGGGCGGGTCGCCCGCGAGGGGACGGGCAGCAGGGCGCGGCCGCCGGCGCCCGCAGCCCCCCGGGGCCGGAGGAGGCCCAGAGGAAGCTGCGCGTCCTGCAGCGCGAGTTGCAGAACGTGCAGGTGAACCAGAAGGTGGACCTGTTCGAGGCGCACATCCAGGCGCAGAGCTCCGCCATGCCCGCGCCCCGCAGCCCGCGCCTGGCCCGGGCGCGATCGCCCTCCCCGAGCCCCTTCCGCAGCAGCAGCCAGCCCCCGGGCAGGGCCCTGGCTCAGAGCGTGGGCCGGAGGACCAAGTCCTGGGGGGAGCGATGCCCAGAGACCTCGGAGGCCGACCCCGCCAGGAGCGCCGGGGCTCCCAGCCCAAGCCTCTCCAAGGACCAGGAGGGAGTGGCACCTCTTCCCTGCCCGGCCTCCCTGCCGGGCTCCGGGGCTCAGGGCACAGCCCTTTCGGTGAGAATGGAGGAGGGGGTCCCTGCCCGCCCCCCCTGTGGCTCACCGTCCGCGATGGAGATTGACAAGAGGGTCTCCGCTCTGGAAACTCCGAGCTGCCCAGCTCCCTCGTTGGGCCAGGTCGGAGCGAACTCCTTGATGGAAGTGGCAGCTAGAGCCACGTCCCCTGGGCCGCACCACCCGCAGGACCCTGCCCTCTCGGAGCTGCGGGAGAAGCCCCGGGGTGTGCATCCCCCGTCACCCCCGGCCGCCCCGGTGGAGGGTAAGGGGCCGGCTCTGGGCGGTGAGAGGAGCCCAGCCCCAGAGGGCGGCGGGCCCGGCGGTGGAGAGCCCCCTGGGACGGCGGGGAAAGGCCATCTGCCCTGTGGCCAGCCGGGCTCCGGGCATCCCGAAGCGGGCGCCAGGCCGGAGGAGAGGACTGTGGACGCGCAAAGCGCAGGGGATGTGGGCTTGGTAGGGCCCGGGGTGACCCCGAGTGCGGCCCCGGCGGCCCGGGAGCCTCCGCAGTGCTCCAGCCGAGTGGATGAAGGGTCTCCGCCGCTGGGCTTGCTTGGGGGCAGCCGCGCCGCACAGCCGGGTGCAGGGGAGGCCGAGGCAGGAATTCCCGGTGGCGGAATGCTGGAACCTTTGCCCTGTTGGGAAGCAGCGAAAGATGTGAAAGGACCTCAGTGCCTCCCTGCGGACGGGGTGGGCGTGCAGCCTGGGAGCTCCAGGGCTTGGCTGAGCCCCATGGAGGAAGCCTGCCTGGCCTGGACTTGCAGCCTGGGGGTACCAGCCCAGGGGACTTGGGGAAGCCCCCCGAAAGACAGAGCCACCCACTCCGGCCCAGAGCTGCTCTCCCCGGAGCAGGAGGACAAGCCTTTGCTGCGGGAGGCCTGCAGCCCCGGCAATATCCCCGCCGTCATCATTACAGACATGGGTGCCCAGGAGGATGGGGTGTTGGAGGAGGCCCAGGGCAGCCCGCTGGGCATCCTGCCCCTGCGGAAGCTGTCCTCTTCCTCGGCCTCCTCCGCCGGCTTCTCCTCCTCCTACGAGGACTCGGAGGAGGACATCTCCAGCGACCCCGAGCGCTGCCTGGACCCCAGCGCCGCCTTCCTGCACACCCTGGACCAGCAGAAGCCCAGAGTGGTAAGTCTTGCCCTGAGATTCTTCTAGAACTTGAGTTGCTTTCATGCCCTCCTGCTTTTTCCGACTTTCTACTGAGTCACGGAGACTGGCCCGGGCCCTGGGGCAGTCACAACTTACTATTCTCTCCGGGTGTTTGTAGCTATTTCCGTGAACATCTTAAAAAAAAAACACAAAAAAACCATTTGTATGTAGGTCGCCAGTCACGTCTTAGGAAGATGGTGTTCTCGAATGTCACCAAAATCTTCCCTATGAATCCCCAGCGGGAGTGAGCAAAGCTGCTAAGGGGAACCGCTTAATGCTGCGATTCTTTTCGGCAGAGGACAGACGACAGGGCGGCATTGAATTGGCTCGGCCTCTAGGCTAAGAGGCCAGGAAAACGGGTGATGCGATCTTGCAACAGGGCCTGAGCCGTGGAGATGTGGTTGTGGCGGGTCTGTTGGGTGAAGAGCCACTGGGCCTCAGTAAGTTAAGTCAGGACCTGGCAATGTTCATGGGCCGGTGTAACTAAGGTGCAGTTTTGGTGTGTCAGTGAAAATAAAAACCAGGCTTTGCGTTTGTTTAACCACAGAATGTTGCATTAGGTCAGATTGCCCAGCTAGGGACCTGGGTGATGTCTCCAGGGTGGACACCACCTCATGGACACGCGTGCTGACTGGTGCGGGTACATGTTCAAGGGCATCCGTCCCGGTCCGTCGTGCTGACATCTTGTTTATTTCTGTTGTGGTTAATCTCAGTCCTCGGCTGTTCTCGCTCCGGGGACAATCAGAGTGTCTTACGGAAGACACGCGGTGAAGGTAGCGCTTCTGAAAGGGCCTGGACTTTCTCTCAGCTTTTCCAGCGTCTGGGGAAATTCCTCGCCCCGCCTGCGAGGGCTTCTGTGCTCCTGGGGAAAGTCTGCATGTTCCTGTCGCCGGCAGCCTTCCGATTGCATCTTGAATACCCAGCACTGCTGGCTGTGCCTCTGTGACTTCACCCACGGCGCCGAGAACTTTGTATTTCTACTCTCCGTCCTTGTCTCGGGTATCTTGGGCCTCAAAGCATGTTTGTCCCTCGTTCCCACTTCAGAGATCGCAGTCTGCCTTTTGGAAACCAGGGCATTTCTTTTCCTGAAACTCCGCTTTCTGTTGGTGGTCGGGAGGCAAAACGTGGCCCCGGTCGGCCTGGCATTCGGTGGCCGGGACGGGGTGTCAGGCCCACCGGGAGGGTGGCGTACAGGACGGTGGAAAGCGCCGCTCCCGGGAGACGGGCCGGCTTTCTCTGCCTTCTTGCCCACAGTTACAGGCGAGGAGGACACGGCCCTCTGTTCACGCCTCCCGTTTGCGTTTTGAACCCCGAAGCGGCGCTGGCACAGCCCAGGTGCTTTAACTTGTCCTCCCGCTTTCCGTTCGCCGATTCTAGCGGCGGGTCCGCAGCGCCTATGGGCTGGTGCTCAAAACAGTTAGGGCGTCTCGGGTTTGAAAAGGGCTCTCGCCTGGAAGAGAGTGGAGGGGCGAGAAATAATGACAGGTGACCCTTGTGTGTGTCTGTGTGTGTATGTATGTCCGTGTGTGTGTGTGTGTGTCTGTGTCGGGTGCCCGAGGGGAGCTGGCTGAGAAACCGGAGGGTGGAGCGGTGTTTTCAGCCTGCCTCTGTCCACCGCCTTCCTGCCTTTAAACAGGTTCCCAGACGCCCCCAGAGCAGGGCCAGGAAGAGTCCCTGCCCTCCTGCTCTCTGACTCACACGAGGCTGAGGCTGATGGAGAATGTGTGTTGGGGGTGAGGGGGTAACCAACTGGAAATTATGGGATCCCGGGGACATTGGGGCTTCTGGTTGAGTGCTGGCATGATGAGCTAAGTTTTCTGTTTCTTGTACAGATTGTTATGGTGGAGCCGTACTTGCGACACCACGACATCTGCTCATTGGCTCAAAAATCCCTTGCTTACCAGGTATTGCTGTTTTGTCTGCAGACGGCCAGACATCTTGATTGGCTGGGCTCCTCAGTGTTTCATAGATAACCCTGAGCCAGCTCTGTCTCAGGCGCCGCGGTACCAACACCCCTTTCTCTCCTCTGCCTTTGCTGCTTGTTTTTATCCTGCACCCAGGTGCTCACGCCCTCAGACGTGCTCACACTCACACGCCCTCACACATGTCCACATGCACTCACCTTCACACTCGCCATTCATCCTCACACATACACATACATTCACGCATACAAATTCACACACACCCTCGCCTGTGCTCACACACACTTGCACCCTGTCACACACTGTCACACCCTCACTCCCACACACACCTCGCACATGCTCTCTCACACACACACACACACACACACACACACACACACACACAGGCTTGGAGCTGCATGTTCAGCCCTCCCGCCCCGGCCCTGGGGTTTGAGCTGCTCTGCCTCTCCTCTGAGAAACAGGCTGCGGGTGTGACTGAGGCTGTGCAGGCGGAGGGGCCGCCCAGAGGAGCCTGAAGCTGGCTGCTTTGTGGGCTCTGGCCTCCTGGCCGCCCACCACTGCTGGGATCTCAGAGCCGGTGAGCGGGGAATTCAGAGGGCCTCGCTATAGTTAACAGCACGGGGAGAAGCACGTCCCTTGGAAATGCACTCTGACAATTACTTCTCCATTTAGATTATGCAAATTAGCCAAGGCCTTTTTCCTGGCAGGGAATGCGGTGAGAAGGCCACTCTCCTCATTTGCCCCCATGGGAAGGAACCAGAGAGATCCCCGGGGAACCTGCACAGCTTGAGGCCTTCCCCGTGGCTCCTGATGAGCCTGACAGATGCATCTGTCCCTGAAGCAGAACGTTCCGAGTTTTTGCACCTGATGTCTGTTTATAAAAGATGGGACTTGAAATTTGTTCGGCAGAAAGGGTATTACATGCCTTGTGTTCAGTGGCTTAAGTTCGGGCCTTTATTCTTCACTGGGATCTGGACAGAAGCGAGTTTCTCCGTGTGAATTTCTCTTTTAGTCTTTAAAATAACTCAAAATTAATCAGCAGTTCTTTACTTTCCTCTAGTATTCCATTCACTAGTATCTGAGCCATTGAAACACCAGGCTCAAAGTACTACATTAAAATATGTGTGCATATTACTTTAAAAAGGGAGATTTTATTGATTTGCACCAATATTTTACTATTAATTATGGGTGCAAAAAAACTCCCACACAAATGTTGGCTTAGCTATCTGTGGGGTGGGGATCGGATGGATATACAAAGAAGGATAGTATAACATTTTTTGGTTTCCCGTGCTTACTACTTGTTAAGGGCTATTAGAGTTTTGTTTCTTTTGCTTTTTTTGGTATTGACTAGTTTTGTGTGTTTTTTCCAACTACAGTTGACATACAGTATTATAGTATTTTTAGGGGTGCAGCATGGCGATTAGACATTTATATAACTTAGCAAGTGATCACCCCGATAATCTAGTGCCCGTCTTTGTTGTCTTGTTTGTGAAAAGCTAACTCGCACATGTACTAAAAAATTCCGTTTATAAGGGTTCTATGTGGTTTTGAAAAGTATACAATTTTTATTTGTGGGCAAACCAAATTAAAATTTAAAGGCCTTAGAGGATTACTTAAAAAAAAAAAGAATGTGGTGGTAAGTACTTTTAAGTAGAAAATTCTTTTCTGGATGAGAATGTTAAAGGCCCAGATCTGGGGGGGGGGGGGGGGGGGGAGAGGGGAAATCTGAGTCAGGTGAGTATGCAGTTTTCTTGAGACGGGGCCTCTTTCTTCTTTGTCCGGTTCGTGGATCGGATCTTTCTGGCAAGGCCTCCGCACCTTTCAGGTCTGGGAGGACCCTGAGTCATTTATGCGAGGTTCTGGGTGTTACTCTGCTCTGTTTGGGGACAAAGAAACCCAGACTCAGCGAGACAAAGGGACCCATGCGTGGCTCCACTCTTTGCTGTTTCCTCCTCTTAAAATGTGTCTCTTGCGTGAGGGTGATGTCATCGGGGTCTGTCTAGTTCTAACTGTCTGTGACTACGCTGTCTGTGACTACGTAATTCTAGACATTTGACCTAAAACGTGGTGTAGGTGACATTTCAGGGTGTCTGGAAGTGTGACAAGATTCCTTTGGTGTAGACCTCGGGCCCAGAGGCCAAAACTGGGCACATTTAAGTCTGTGCTTTTACTTAAGACCCATCAATTGATGTGTCTGTCATCTCTCTCTTCCCTGGAAGACTGGTTCTTTGTAATTTCATGTTGAAAAAGGCATCACGATAAATCATCAGTAGGATCCCAAGATTCTCATTAGTAACTAGACTGATATTAGGAGCTGCCCTGGTAGGATGCCAGGACATGCACTGAAACGTAAAACAGGCTGATACCCGAGGGCTTTGGCCTCCTCAGATGTTTCTGTTTGGAAAGTGAGGCTTTGCCTGCATAGAGCCAAAATATCACTTCAGAAGTCTTTTGTTTTTTAACAAAGATAGAAGGAGATGAGCCAGCTGAAAATTCTTTCAAGTAAAGGTGGAGGGCATAGAGAAAAGGAGAGGCTGATGTTGAGGCATTGCAAAAACACAGCTCAGAACTCACCTAGCCTTCAGGTTTTATAAGAAAAACATACTCAACCAGTCAGTTGCTGCTTCGAGAAAAATGTCTTTCAGGTGTAAGAGAAATCGCTTCCAGAACTTCTGTTTTCAAGTGCTGAATTGCTATGGAGTCACGTTTGTGATTTTGTTGGCACATGCCTGTTACATGCAGTTACAGATTAGATTAGTTTATTTGTGTTCCTAGGAGCATGGATAACATTGCTTATTTTATTTTGTCAGGTTTGCCTTTGTTATCTAAAGGTAGAATTTTTAAATATTTAATGGAGAGAATTTTATATCTTGATAGAGAAAACTTTGCAGACTTCAGGCCATCGGCAGGAACCTGAATGAATTCAGGAACTCTTCCAGGTCCAGTTGTGCTTATACATTCGATGTGGACGGTTCTGTGGGTTTTGACAGGAGAGGAGACCTCGAGGTAGGGCATTGCACGGTGTGCCCTGGAATCCGTGACCAGCATGCCTTGCAA